GGGATAGAAAGAGGTGAAGAACAAATGAGTCGGCGGTACTACTTTGTCCAAAGTCCAGCGCCTAGTTTGTTCGCATGCGGTCCTAGTAGTTAAGCAAAGCAATCGTTCATTTGCGAGGGGCAACTTTCACCACGCCTCAGCCTGTGAGTGGATGGTTTTAAGCCTGACGAGTGAGACCTGTGACGTGTTGCCTTGCGTCGTTTGCCTAGCCGAGCCCCCCATTTGGCCCCCCTCAGGCTTTGGAGATGTACAGGTACTCGTACTTATAAGTCTCATTAGCCATTCCTGCCGTCCCTCTTAGGCACTACCCACCTGCTGTACCCTGCCTAGTACGTCGCGGTGCGGCCACCCGGGAAATCCCAGCCACAATGACTCCCGGCTCAGCATCTCCGAATCCTGGTTGTCCCGCCTTTTCTGCTCAATAACATCACTGTACCGAGTACAGCCTTCCTTAAGAGGCGTTGTTGACGCTCTAGCACAAGGGACTCGAACGCCAAATGGGCAGTCCCTGAAATCGAACAAGAATCAAGGCTTTCGATATGATTGCACACGCCACCCCGAGGTCTCTAGCTACTTGTTCTTTGTACGTACGAGGGACTTGGGGATGTAGGTCATCTGTGGATGCCTTGGTACACAGTATGTAAGTCATTCTTGGTGCCATGGTTTTGCGACGTGCATACCTAGGCACCTAATTCCCCATACCTGGGTAATACCTACCTAGTTCGCTAGGCACCCAATCTCTATTTAGGTAATACCTCTGGCACCTAAGAAACCCTGAAGGCATTCTTCTTAGGCGGGCCAAGCGGGCCCCGCCCTCCTCGCTAGGGACCTTGGAAGCCAATGTGTGTTCACGCTAGGCAGGCACGGGCCAAGGCTATGACGCACCAATCAACCTCAGCTCCCCAGATAAATCTCCTACTCGACAGACGGCTCCATCTGCTCCTCCACAAACCACCCGATCGCAATCCTGAATGTGAGTCCTCAATTCACTACACTCCCTATACTTGTCTTGCCGGACGTCAATTTGATTGCATACACTCTTCCGACACCATCTAGCCACCCACCAATCACGCAATTGTAGGTGCTTCACACCCGGGAGGTCCAGAATTTCAGCCTGATAAAGTCTACCATCTACTGTGTAAAGACTGCTGGCAGTTGCGGCCCAGTCTGTTTATCTCGATTGCTATTCACATGGTGAACCGGACGCTTCCCTAAAGCTTAGCTGCCTGTTATAACAGAGTCCTTAGTTGGCAAGTTCCTGTACAACTGTTCTATGGAGAGTGTCTGATTGATATCTAGTGATAATTTTGAATGGCTTCTCTGTTTCGCTGAAACCCTCTACAATGCTGTCGTTGTCGTGCATGTCTGCGCTCTGTTGACCTCTGGGCTATGCAACACCTTTTTTTCTAACCTCCCATGCTCTGCCATGTCATTCTCCAGAGCACTCGTCGAATCTCCACGAGCTGAGTCTTTCAGATCGCTTGTTCGCTTGGCTTACGAAATTGTTGGCCGAGAGTTGGAGGGATTCACCGATCTATCACCCCGGTTAGGACAACATGCAGGCTGCGAGTGTGAGATATCCTATGACGGCCATGTCAAAATCTGGCAGACGGTTGGCAGACACAAATTCACCCTGAATTATGATTCGAGGCAGGTCGTGTTCGGCGCATTATTACGACGTGCTTCTTCGGGGCAATGGGTGGACTGGGATGCACAGGCCGGGAGCGAGTTGCTGGCCCAACATGATACAAATAATGCTGCTGCTCAGATTTTGATATGGCTAATGGACAACTCACCTGCTGTGGACATGTCTCCTCTCGATCAAAGACGGCTTCAGCCTTCAGCTCCGTCAGATATCTTTTCCCTTGACCAGACACATAAAAACTTCAGCCGGATCAAACTTCAATTCGACGACACGTCTTCTATTCAGAACTGGAAGCCCGAAGGTATCCTCTCGTTGATTCCGCAGCAGACTTGGATGTCAGACCTCGAGCAGCAGAGTGATCTCCTGGTGACTGATGACGCTGAACCAACAGGAAAGAGGTATACAAGCGCAAGGGATTTCATTGCTCATCAAGTGGCCATTATCGAGGCATCGGAGGAGCATTCCTATCCTTTATCATCTTGGCGAGACGCCACCAAAGCCGCATTTCGTACTGCCTCATCGACAAACGACTCCCACCTCCCTCTGGTATCCATGTTTCTGCGGCAAGGCGAGGCTGTGAGAGACATTCTGCCATTTGCGGAACCGGACTATTCGGTTGATTTTTCTGTTCTCGACGACCTGGATTATTCCCAACGTCGTGTGATTCGAAACATCTTTAATCACCAAGTGTCTCTTGTTCATGCGCCTGCTGGCAGTGGATTAGTTTCGGCCATAGTCTCAGTTACGGAAGCAATCTTGCGGAAGGCTCCTCAGACAAAGATTCTAATCTGCGGATACGATAGATCAAGGCTGGATGAAATCTCCGACGGATTCATGTTCAGGGAATGTTTCTGCGATTTCCGATTCCAACATCTCCATCTTCCGCTAGAAGAAACGTTAGGGATCGGAGGTTCTAGGGTCATTTTATGCACATATTCAGAGTCCCGCGCTGCCTGGCTAAAGAAAATATGGGCTCCTCATGTCCTCATCGCTTCAGACGCTGGCATTATTACGCACTATGACCTGCTTACACCCATCTCTGCACACTTTGACAGTTTGACTAGATTAGTGCTGCTGGGCGACCATAGGCAATTTGGTCCATACACAAGGACAGACAAAGATAAACCCCACGAAGGCAGATCGATCTTGGAAGAGCTTATGGAGGAGCAGTGGCCAGGCTGCATGCTTCATCTTGAGCGCATGACACATTCGGATCTATGTTTCCCTAGGAGCTCTGTCTTCTATGACGGCCGACTGATGGCTGTGCGACAAACGTCAACTCCTGGATCCTTTTTGACGAAAATGCAAGACAGATTCAATGCTGGATTGAGGATCATCGACGGTGATGATGACGCCACAAGCATCACATCCTTTGCTCACTTCTTCGATATTTGGGACCCTATTAATCTTGAAGGACAATCGCCGGTCCACTTTGTGGATGTGCTTGTCAAGACGCTACTTTCGACGGAGGGTTGCCAAATGTCCCAGATCATGGTTGTCAGTCTCGATGGGAGCAGCACAAACCTCCATTTGCAGGAAACGACTACTAGATGTTGGGGCGATGTTAAAGTCCATACCGTCACAGAGACTCAAGGGCTATCGGCCAAGGTTGTTATCTGCCTGCTGCCTCTGACCAAAGTCGAACTTGAGCTGGCACAAACGAACTGGTCCAAATCCGCCTGTGTCATCATGTCCCTTGCCACGGAAATGATTTATTTTGTCGGAAAATGGAGAGCTGTCTGTGACCTGGACTATATCAACGATCTTCAGCGTTGCATATTTACCCTGGACGAAATGAACCCCAACTTCCTTCAGAGGGTTGGACCCTCTCCGTACGCGATGGAAACGCCTGCTGATCGGCAACACAGTGATGGCCGTGGGATGACCCCCTCAACTCCTGCCGAATCAAGCTCCGCCTGAGGGCAAGCAGGAGCGAGAGAAAAGAAGGACCTGATAACGGAGCAATTGATGGAGCCCCTACACAAAGGAAGTGGTGACTCTTATCGAGAGTCCATGAGAATGAAGGGGAGTTATCATCCAGCGCAAATACATCAGATTTGAATGTGTTTGGAAATTTACTCGCTCAGCCTTATACTTTTTTCATGCTTTGGCCTCTGGATGGTCATTGCCAAGGTCGGGCGTACTCAGAAATATAATAATATATCTCAAATACTCAGCCTTGTCCCTCGTACTCGGTGAGCGGGTAGACGTTAGACGTCTGACGTTGAACGAGGCTGCGCTACCGAGAACACCTGCACCAAAATCCTGAATGATACTAGCGCAGCCTTGCCCTGGCTTGTCTCCTCTTCTTATTTACCACCCTGCCACTCAAGAAAGTACCCCTGGTGCTCTGTGCCTGGTATCCTGGTATCTTCGCCTCGTACGCAGTGCAATTTATTCCTCATTTTATCCCCCGTATTATCAGGTACTCTCCTCCATCCTCAAATATATCACCACTTCAAGAAAAGCAGGCATTTTTTCAAAATGGTATATTGTAACAGCAGACTCCCCTCGAAGGCCTCTCTCTGTCCTTTGTACGAGCAATTGCAAGATAATGTACAGATTAACCTTGTCCGTGACCCTGTCCCGTCCTCCTCCTAACAATCCACAAGATGAAAAAAAAGTATCTCTCTGCCGTTTGCCTTCCATTGTTCTTCCACTTGCAGATGAGATCCCTCCTGCTACCACCACTGTCACTCTCACTGCCGCATCTTGATCAGCCTTCCTCTCCTTCACATCCATCATTGAAGCTGAAACAAGACGAGTATTCTTTTGACTGCAACAAAGACTGCTCGGCTGGTTCACTAACACAGGAGGATATGGCGAGAAACTCCAAAGGGCTCGGGTTGCGATCGGTAACCTGGATGGGTCCTTCCTGTGGACGTCTCGTTTCCCCTCTTCTCGGTTGTGACAAAACATATGAAGCCTTCTCCTCCTTCTCCTCCTCCTTCTCCTCCTCCTTCTCCTCCTTCTCATATGACGCGGTATGGTACTCGCAAAACTAGCAATCAAACATTTCACAAAGCCCACCCTTCCCTTTCGGCCGTTAAAGCAATAATATGCCATTTCAGATAATCGTAAACTCCGTGGTTGATGACGAGGATGACTCTTTGGTGGATACCTTGACACAATTATTCGACGATGCTGACCGTGGGTTTCTCGCTGGAACGCTTCGACAAATACCGCCTGGGAATTTCAGGGAAATGGAGGACCTGCCCACATAACACATACATAGAGCAACACATGCAATGAATTCCGATGCGGCGTCCCTCCGCGCTCCCGAGGTCTTGGTATACAAAGAAAAAGTTAAAATTTGGACCGGGTTGGTATATTCGTGCTTCAAATCCGGTTGGTGTTATCGGCTCGAGGAAAAGCTGGACGCAGTGCTTGCCGAAGGATATATTGCCGGTGGAAACACCTTCAGGCGCACGTGCTCCAGAATTTTCAGGTCTTTGGCCAGCACTGGAGAAATGGCCTCGTTCTCTCGCAGAATTTGCACTGTGCGATCATGTAACCGCCGTAACACGTCCTCCTGCACCAGCGAACTTAAGCCTGGGTGAGGTGAGGTGAAGGTCGCGTACAAAACAAGCATGTTTCCAAATTGGCTGCATCTCCACGTCAGTCAAGGAAACACTCACGCATTACACAAGGTTTGGGGAACTTACGCGTGCGCTGTGCCAAAGATGTTGGTGACAACGAGACGGCGAGGGACTTTGTCGAATGAAGTAGTGCTTCGGATTGCGGCCTCAATACACTTCCTAGATCCTTCCAGCAATTCAGGCTGGATGTAAGGAACATCTCTCCCATACGGGTGGGGAGTATTGAGGCTCGACACGGCGGGTGAAGTCACCTCAGATTGGTGACCGTGCCCCGCAGGCGACTCTGATGGTCGACTTCTGGCGAGTTTCGGAGTGGGAGTGGGATTAGGATTAGCAGTAGCTTGCGAGAGCGCAAATCGCAGGGTCGGCCGCCAGATGATGTACTTAGCACCGTAATATTTTCCTCGCATCCGCGCGACGTTGATGTTGGGGCTTTCGTGGTCATTGTCATCCCAGTCCCAATCATTCAGCATCTTCCTCCAGTTCTCCAGGTTGTCGTCCAGAGCAGACATAATGCTATCGCTTGGCCTCGTGTGTAGATTCTTCGATTCCCGATATAGCGTAGCATGGACGCTATTCATCGTGGTCCGCAGTTGAATCTGATATGAGTAAAATCTCAATATGTCGTCATCCACACTGGACTCCGGAATCCTCTCCAATGTGAGAGCCGTTGGAAATTCTTTATGCTGAGGGCTCTCATATCGACCTATCCCACTGAGAGGCAACTCCAATTCGGCCGCAATGTCGCTCTCCAGTTGCAAGCATGACCAAAACGCAAAATTGACCAAATTACGGCGAGCAGGTTTCATGGTATTTGTCACATACGGGGTCGACTCGATGAGGATTTGAGCTGCAACGCAGGCCTTGTTGATGTAGAAGTAGCTCGGGAGAATGCGTGCCAGTTGTCCCATATATAGGCCTGCAAGAAGATAAGCTTGAATGTGCGACACGTCGGCGCCGCCTGGTAGCTCGCCCAGGATATCTGCAGCTATAGCAAAGTAAGCAAGGCCTGGAATAACGTCCATGTTCTTCCCCTGAGGGTTGGCCGGACTCGAAACGGTGCCGTTCAGATTGGGGTGATGGGTATATGGAGAGGTGGGCGCTGACATGGGCATCGGAAGATCCGAGTAAAGTGCGCTATGAGGCGTCGATGTTCGCATCGTAGCGGTTGACGCGGGTCCAGGCAAGGGATCGCGATGAGATGTGATCTTACCCAACGCCAAGACAAGTAAGACGATAGCATTTGCAACTGAATGTTCGATCGGAGCTACGGTCGTATTGTATCCCCTGGGCTGAGGGGGGTGGCTGTTGTAATCGTCTATTGAGGTCGGTGAGTCGGTCGTCTCTCGCTTCCTCTTGTGCCCAATCGCTGTAACCTGCTGTGTGGCCCGGTAGTCCCAGCTGTATTTCCTTTTAAAAGATTGGATCATAATTCGGAGAACCTTAGGCTCGAGGAACGGATGGTGAATGTGCATATTATCCATAAAGCTCCGGAAGTATCGATCGACCGCTTTCTCATCCAGCATCAGCCCACCACTAGGACTCAAACCACCGGGATGTTCGCGCGCGGAATGGTGCTGATTTGCCATCGGCACGTGCAACTGCCCGCTGCCCCAAACACCATGCGGCGAGGAAGAAGCTGTGTCGTCGTCGGTGCGTCGCCCTTCGGATGAGTTGCTGTTAGCGGGACTCGGAGCGCCCTCATGCCCATCTCCTTTGTCCTCTCCCTCCCCACAGCCATAAAGTCGCAGGAGACCTCTGCTAGTTTCCTCATCCAACACATAAGACGGTGTTATGCCTCTTGGGATCAAAGCCTTAATAGATGGCCAAAGAACGAGGTTCTGTGCGGCCGTCGTGTGCTTGGCGGGCATAGGCGTGTCTATACTCTCTGTTTCCGAATTTCGCATTTGCATGATGGACGCTGCGGAGGGGTTCTGGGACTGCGAACCGGACCTGACCTCTGAAGTGCTATCCTGTCGGCGGAACAACGGAGGCGGAGGTTGAGCAGGACTAGGGTTGACAGGACTCGGGTGTGCAGGACTGGGATGTGCTGGCGTTGTCACCGCGATATGGCTGTGCTGGTCTACCATTGGTACGTCAACAGTCGCCGGAGGTCGATCTGCTCGGGACTGCATAAGACGATCCAGCAGCAGGTTGATCTTATCATCTTGTTGCTTGAGTAATTGGTCCATCTTCACGTCCCGCTCCTGGGCTTTCTGGGCCAATGTCTTTACGTCCTCGGCCAACGAGTCCAATTGTGCCGTGATGGCTAGGACCTGCTTCTCTGACTTTTGTGGAGGGATTTCTCGATACGAGCATTTCAGCCCGTTGTCTTTGCAATGTTGACACTCGGGTCTCCCTTCATCGCACTTTGCCTTTCGTTGACGGCACGAGTCGCAAGCTTGAGCAGCTCTGACTGGCTTTCGTCGGTGTTCTCCATGATAAGGGTAAGGGTAGGCGTACGGCCCGGGTGTCGGCATGGGCCCTCCTGAGGGCGGACCATACGCCGGCGGGCCCGGAGGCTGTCCTGGCATCATTTCATGCCCTGTCACCACGTGAAGAGGAGGCTGCTGGTGAGTTCCGTTGAGCTGGGGTTCGGGCCCTGGGTAGGCATGACGCGGCCTGTAGTCGGTTGGGGGAGGGTAGTAAGGAGCTTCGTGGGGATTGCTACTCACGGGGTGATAAGGAGGAGGTTGCTGTGGTGGCGGCGGTGGTGGAGGTTGTTGAACGTCGGCAGGGGACCTCGTAGGGCCCGACACGCTGCCTGGGCGGCCGTAACCTGGCTCCGGAGGATAGCCTGGGGGTTCTCTACCTGGCGGGGGATGGGTGGGAGGATATGGCTGAGGTGGTGGAGGATATGGCGATTGATGAGGGATGTCTGGAGGCGGAGGTCGGTGGTCCGCGGAGTCATTGTATGGCGAAGGCGTCGGGTTCCACGCCGGCGCCGGTGGTGGCATACCTGCGCCTGGCGGAGGGGGATAACTGTACGACGTAGGTGTCTCGGCTGGCGGCATACGGTGGATAGGATTTGGAGGTGGTTGTCCGTAGTGATGGGGTCTCTCGTGTTTGATATCCACGTCACCAACTTCATCCATTTTCAACCTGCGATCCTATGCCTGGCAGGAACCAACAAGTCCGTGCCTCCCGCGTCTCTATACCCAAGGGAACGTGGTACAGCAAATGCGGCATGACCTTATGCACAGGTGAGAGGGGAACACGCGATCAACAGGACAGGCTCATGGCAGATCGTTATACGACGCATTCGCCAGGTTGCATAAAATTCCTGTCGTCGCACGTCCAGGTTCTCCTCGTGCAGGTTCGGTCACCTGAGGTCCAGTTGGCACAGGAAGTCTCGGTTGGTGGGAAAAATGGGAGACCAAACAGTGGATGTCTGCGGGGCTGGGTTTGCTACTTTCGCAGCGAGCCTTTCAAACACGTAGAGGCGCAGCGCAACCAGAGAATTAATGTCTAGGCAGACTGAATTGCAATCCGGTCGTAGATAGGTCCGAGTAGGATGGTTTGCTGTCGGAGAGAGTGTGTGAGAGTGGTGGAGGTCTCGGAATCAACAAAGCAAACACTATAACCTTCCCAGAAATCAAACAAATCCCACAGTTGTGGACCAATTGTCTGGGAAAAGACAGCTCGAGATGAGATAAAGAGGTAGGATTGCAAAAAACACGCCTTTTCGAGTTTGTTCCGTCCCAACTTGGTTTGCGACGTCGCGCAATGACAAAGGTGTAGCAGGCGAGGTTTGGAGAGAGCTATCCTTGATTTCGAGATGCGGAGTGGATGTCGTTGTCGCAAGACCGTCAGGAGCGAGATGAGGAACTGATCCCTCCACTTGGGCAGCAACGACCGGAAGATCGAACTGGTAGAATCGGTTGGTGTTTTGACGGATTGACGACCGACCCGGACAAAACCATAAAAAAAAGGTGACTCCAAGACCGCTCTCTTTGACCCGTACTTCGGAGAGAAGTTGTGGTGGGGGAAGTAACCGAGGGGAGAGCTTTCTCAAGGGCGAGATGGATGCCCAAAAGCTACACGGGGCTTTCTGTACCAAAGCTGATCATCATTCGAGCAAGGCTGATCGACCAAATACTGGGGGGTATTTCAAAACCGGGCAGGGCGACGGTTTTGGAGAATGAAGCAAACAGTCGAGAGATGATTTTTCTTCGGGAAAAAGCGTCGATCACAATGGAAAGAACGGACTTCGAAGCCTGAAGGAGGGACTAAAAGTAGTGTGGTAATGGGTTGAAGGGTGACCGGGGGGTGTGGTGAGGAAGAGGGTGGGTAAGAAGCGGCGGCAACAGGCGGTCGAGATAACTTTGCTGATTCAAATGTGGCAGAGATGATGGCCCAGAGCAAAGAAGCTACTCTTTCTTCGGCCGTGGTAGCGTGTCTGTGTGGACGAAGGGCCTGCCTGTCGATCGGTGCTGCGGGCTGGGGCTAGAGGGTTGTCGAGGAAGGAGGTGACAAGAACTGACAGAGGTGGAGTCGAGTAGGTGAGGTTGTTGTTTGGGTGAAGGATTGGAAGGTGAAGCTCGACCAGAAGGGTGCAGTTGCGGGTCGAGGAGTTGTTCAGTGAGGCAAAGGCGATGGGCGGAAGGGCGTTTGACAATCGAGAGAAGCAAAGCTTGGTCAAGGTTCAGGAGCCGCCGGGGGGGTCTCAAGGGCAAAGCACCTAAAAAAAATGAGCCTAATACCCTCTGAGCAACCGCAATGGCGGCGAGAAGGGGGGGAATCGGAGTTAGCAGCCCAGAAGCCTAGCAAGCCTAGCAACGCCTAGCAGCCTAGCAGCTTTAGCCAGGCTAGAAGGTTAGGAAGGCGAGAAGGTTAGTAGCAAGGAAGATGAGAGCACACTTTCCCCCCATGGCGTTCCCCCCCATCCCCCTAGCCACCCCCTTCCCACCCGTCCAGTCCGTCTTGGTGATGGGCCAGCAAAAACTCGAAGCAAGATACAAGGGGGAGGGGTGGGTAAGGAGGGGCGCCCCTCCCCCCAACCCAGAGCAATGGCACCGAATGAAATCGGGATTTGTTAGTTGTGCTAGCCCAGGTGTGAAAAGTCTCAGCATTGAGCGAGGCATCGGAGGTCACAGGCCGCGGCCGGCCACACCTGCCCGCTTGTTAACACCTCCTACTACTTTCGCGCGATGGGGAATCCGAATGTACGAATACTTGGTAGCTGTTGGCGAAACTCGGAATAACAAGGTTTGACAAACAAGACGCCGGCTCGAAATGTCAGCCCAGCCCAGACCTGGCTGAGCCCATCATCTAGCAAGGCACACAAGGGTATTCGTACCTAGGTAGGTTATGAGCTGCTCTCAGGGTCAGGGACGGTAGATTGGAGGCAAAAAGGTAATGGAACGGTTACAAGATCTAAGCCATGCCAGGCGGCAGGCGGCAGGTAGCCAGACCCGAGAGACTTTCACGCTCGGGTCGGGTCTCCAAGATCTCGGCCCAGGTGATGAAATATACAAGTCCTTCGTCCTTCGCAACGTGCCCCCCAAGAGGAGAGGGCGAACGATAAGGGAAAAGCGCCAACAGCTGCTTGACCCATGGCACCACGCCTTTCATGGTTGGTGGAATGATAGTGTGGAAGTGTCAGGTCCGCTCAGAAAGAAGCGGGCACGATTGGCCGCTACGACACGACCCTCTCAAGGTTTTGAGGCCTGGAATGATTACCTAGGTATGGCAAGTGATGACACTCGTAATCAAGCCCCTACCTACATACGAGTACTTGTACTCGCTACTCGGTAGAAATAATAGGTGTACCTAGTAGTATGTAACCGAGTCGAGGGGGACCTGGCCAGAGATGGAGTACCTATACCGAGTGCATACCGAGTCGTTGTAGGTAGCACCTTCTTGTAGTTAAAACTCACAGGTAATAACACCTACCCTACTTGTAATAACCGCCTCACTGGATCCCACGCTTTAGGCATGTCCAGTGACTTCCTCTTCATGTGACAGACACCTGATTTTTGATTTTTGGGCTCCTCATCGGCCCACTCCGTCACTCACTCCCTCGGCCGGGCTGGATCTGGATCATTTGTTTAGCTGGGGAGCACCTGGTCAGTGGTCAACTGCCCACCGCCCACCTCTATCAAGTAGTCATTCTTACACGATTATTAGAAAGCGGCCATGTACTACTTCCAACCTCACTACGACTACTACTAACCAGCCAAGAGGTTACATACAACCTATGGATCAACTCAGTCCGCATCTTCGGGGAAAGAACGGTTAAGGAATTTCGGTCAGGTGTCGAGTTGATGATTGACCCTCTGGCTGCTGTGAGGAATTGATTTGGGGGATTGGGGCAGTTGATCAAATGAAATTACCTCGCCTGACCCGCGTACCGAAGGTACCAGGTACATGCCTGGTGAACAAAAGAGGAACTGGAACTTGAACTTGGGGACTATGTGGGACTCTCCGCGGTCATCCCTACATACAGTACAAGTACACACCTACCTCTGTACCAACCTCGTATTGTAGATGGTAATTATTATTAGACTGGTCGAGTCAGAAGCAGTCGACGTTGTTGCGTTTTCTTTCATATATTTTCTAGGGAGATGAGCTGCCTCGCCGTCGCCTATCCTATACCGAACATTCCTACTGCTACTCGGTCCTTGTACTCCGTATGTACACGAGTAGTCATAGTAGTGTATATCTTTTGGTAACGACATGGACCTCGTACTGCTCGTGTACTCCGTCTCCGTCTCCTGCAGACCTCTATCCCTTTGGTGCGTGTGATCCCGTCTCGGTGCCCAACTGCAACTGCGGTCCCTGTCCACCTGACCTGTTTCTCGCCATCTTCTCCGCGTACCTACAGTGCTATACTCTTGACCATATCTCCTAATGGAATTCAAGTTGCACTCGTAGTCCTCCGCACCATATTTCGCGCTCCACTGATCTTTCATCATTTCCCTGTCCTCTTCGTTTCCGAGGTGGAACCTGGTGATCTCATTCTCCATTGGACTGCCGACTTGAGACTCGAGAGCGTATCGACTCCTAACATATCTGAAGGGCTTCCCTGGGCCCAGAATCCTTTTCGGTCATTCCTGTTAAGCCTGGCTGGCGGTGGGCCTATCTCTGTTGTTCAGGGGGACCCACGTCTTCTCTACCGGGAATCTGGGAATGAGGTTTGCCCCTCCAAGCCTCCACCGCCCACCAGCAGCAAGTCATATTCCTTTCACCTCTGACAAGTTTGGGATTTGGTCAGGTGGATGTTGTAAATTGTTCTCCTCTCAGAGGCGACTGTCCCTGATTCCTTAGTAACCTACTTGTACAAGTAGTAGTACCGGTCCCAACTATTTGGAGAGGGACCGCCACTTTGACGATTCTGGCCTTTCACCATGTCGGGAATAGAGTCCGAGAAGGTTCACAGATTACGGAAGGAAATCAACCAGAGACACGGAATCTGCCCGCCAGACGCGTGCGGCTTCCGAATTCTCCGAGTTGGTCGTTTCATCTTGGTCCTCGCTTGTGCGCGTTGGTGTCCTCAAAGAGTCTTAGGTTGCACCTACGAGTATTCCGTAGGTACTCATGCTCAGTACAGAAGACGTAACCGTCTTTTCCGCTCTTTTCCACATCTGTGGATGCGACTGCAAAGGTCATAGGCTCATGGCCGCGAGTTGTGATCCACCAATCATTTCTCGGAGTGAGCCACACGGATCGCGGAAATCCTGTCTTCGCATCATTCTTTCATCTCCGAGAAAACGTCTGGTGAAACGGGGAGCCTCGAACGTGGGTTCATTGATAATGGTCGCGGTATTCCGTGTGAGGGTTCCCTGTAGAAGTAGAAACACCAGACCAGCGTGCAAAGAATTTGTCCGTGCCGGGAGGTAGTCGGTGGTCGCTTTACACAGGACTTGAGCGCCCAAGGGACTTTAGTAGGAAAATGCTAATCTGAAACGCCAATCCTTTATGAGTACTCGGTACGACCATGTTCAATGGCTGGTCTTCAGGGTTGCCAAGCTCGCGTCTTTCGTACAGTAGGTTTGTCGGTTGCACTTCTCGTATCACCTGCTCCGTCCCGGGGAGGCCCCTCACACCCGAGCCGGAATGCCCCGGATCGAGATGCCACGCATTCCGAGTCAAG